ATGATTTTCCTATATGTGAATGTGTCTGTCTGACTATGTACTAGCCCCACACAGACAACTGGTACAGTGTGTTTGTGTGGTTTTTGATTCTCACATGTAGGGATAGGCTCCTGTCCCGCAATGAGCCTGAACAAGAAACAAATATTTATATGATTATAATTTTATATGGATTAAATAAAACATCCTGTGTGGTCTCAAAAGCTCTGACTCAGGAGGTTGCGTTGTTCGCCTGGGGGTTGCTGGTCCAATCCTCAGCTCTTCCTGTCCACATGGCAAAGTGTCCTTGAACAAGACACTGACACTGAACCCCAACTGTCATTGATGGCCATGCCAGTGCCTCACAGTGTGTTCAATTGCACTTTTATTATAGTTTTACCATGTATTATTATGCTCAGACCTGTCTGCACGGTTGACATAATTACGTTTGTGATTTCAACATATTAGATTCTAAATCCGGGCTGGGGTTTGTAACACTATACTGTACAGTGCTGCTGAGAGAGAATGATTGATGTCCAAGCTGCGAGTAGAATAGAAGGGTGATTATGTTACCACTGTAACTTTGACCTTAGTTTCCAAGACACCTGAGAAACCACTATGGTAATAGTGTAGCTTACCATTCACTGGCCTATTAGACAACAGGACAACAATAAGAGTGCTAATTACAAGAGTTCAAAGAGGGACTACAAGTTGAATGATAAAATCAGCATTTCATGCCATTAAGTATCAGTGGGCAATTGTTACTCTCAACCCGTTTAACTTGGGCTATTAAAACAATGACATGAGGCTTTAGTCTATATACATTCTCTCTTTAAAAATATGCCTTTCCAAAAGATAAATAGCAACCCTTCACTGAAATCAAGATTCAAATCCTCTGTGAGCACTGAAATCGCAAATAAGATGGAAAAAATGGAGTAAGCCACAAAATAGGTAAAACCAGCACGGACACCCTCAGACTGTTTCCAGCTCTCAAATGATTTCTGCCTGATGGAAGGTGAAGTGGAGTCATCGGTAAATCCCTGCCAGGGTGTAACAGACAGGAGATTAGAGTGTCTGACATGAAGGGGTGCCTCCCCGGGTCTGTATCTCGATTTATCACACAGCAGTGTCCTTACCGAACAAATATCTTCCTTCTTTTCCCAAACAGGCTGAGTGGAAGGATCTGGTTATCATGGACACAAAAATCTACTCTAATAATGATAATAAATATGTGTAAAAGAAAAAAGCTACCAGCTTTTAAGTAGTTTAAGTAGCATTTCACTTTATTTTTGTGGCTTAAGCCTGCCTAGAAGTCCAGGTCACACATATCGAGGCCATAGCTGTGCAGTCAACATTAATATTTTCATCTTTTGACACATGATACCACAGTGTGACATACAGGATGAAACCCATCATACCATCTATGACGCAGAAATTCCAATTTCTCCACTGACAGCAGCTCTCATGCACCAGAATATTGAATTAGAAAATTGCAATGACTTTTCTGAACAGTAAAAACCCATTTATTCAAGATGTTATCTGTAGGAAAGCAAAAGTAATTTTAGTAATTGTAGGGAAATGCTTACTGAAGCATAAATAGGCTAAGGCTAAAACTTCATCATGCATTCAAAATAATATTTTCTTAAAAACAGTGTAAAAAAGTGTCAACAAGATACTTTTTTGTTCAATCTCTCATTATACTCCTAATGTAAGCTGATGGTAACACTTACACAGAGCCTTGTGTAGGCTTATAGTGGCGTGTGGGTTGCATAAAAAGGCTCTTCTGAGACTGTATAGGAAGTCAATTAAGATATGAATCTGATTACTAAGCCCCTGTGTTTCAGGACCACACTAATGGACTCCTGATCAGTATTAGGGCTGCCTACACTCGGCTGAAAACAGACTGTCTGTAATGGTTTTCCTTGGTGATTGGAGCAATGATGGGATTATAACCATAATAATAATTCCTCAGTGTTAATAATAGCAATCCATATCCACATGTAGAAAACAGCATTCAGGGTATTTATGGTCAGGTTTGGGGGTTGATAATATTTGCCTTCAAAATCCTGTATGATTTTGTGTGGTTAGTATCTTGATGGTCAAACTGTCCTTATTGCTGTTTTGTAGTTGCTCAGGCGAACAATGGACTGCTGTCAGTTATTTACTGTGACTGTCGTGTGACTTGGGAGGAAGGTTGGAGGTTATAATCTCCCTGCTAGCTGGAGATAATGCGACAACTACTGTCAAAACATTGTCAGAGCAAAATCTTGGATCTTAGATCTTTAGGGAAACATTGCACCACTCGTCTTTCGATTTTTTTAGTTTGTGAAAATGAAGGAAGAACTTCATCTGCAACTAATTCCCAAAGGCAACATATCATTAATCAAACAATGTATGAATGTGTTTTCTGCAATCAAATCCGACTTTGCTAGAAATAACAATAAACCATGTAATTTGTTATTAATGAAAGCGGGAAAGCAAGATACTATGGTGGCCATAAAAACAAGAATGTGATGCTAGAATATCTAGGCTTATGAACAATTTTAATTTTTGATGAAGCTATCTACAAATCTTTTTTGAGATTCTGTATTCCCTTTACTCCAACCCCCTAAAATATCCACATCATACCAGCTCAAAAGTATCACCAAGTGAAGCCTGACAGCTGTTAGCATTATAGTGTCCGGGGTCCTCTTCCTGCAGTCCATTTCAAAACCTCTATATCACTTTCCTCCCAACTGGTTTTTGTGTCAACTGCAGCACTTTTATTTTACAACTGCTTAAAACACGTGACATCTCCACCGCGTTTAAAGGTCATATAAGATCATATTTAACGCGACTGAGGACAAGTTACTGCTCATTTCAAAGAAAGACGCACAGAAACATGATAACTAAAAACATTTAATATTCCATAGCAACAAGAGGGAGGAATTTATATGGGATGATGATACATGATATTTCTGACTACCCTAGACTGACTTTTTGCATTTTCAGTGCAGGATAGCTTTTGTCTGCCTCTCCAACCACTTAAAATGGGAGGTTACATCAAGGAAGATATTTTTAGTACTCAAACGCTGACTTTATCTTAGTCAGCACTTACCCTACTTTTCAATATGTGCAGTTCATGGTGTGAGGCTTTCAGTCAAGGTGATCCAATGCTGCAACTGAATTTATACAAAACCTCGCTACACATGACTGAGACCTTACTGACTGAATGCTGATAGAGTGTAGTAATAATAATCTTTAAAATATAATAACTAATGACCATTCGAAACATTGCACACTACCTGGCCTGTAAACTGAATGTCTAGGATGCAAGATCCAGTTGTCAGATAACAGATGAAGTATGACAGAGGAAAAAATCACTTTAAGTTACCATAATTCATGTCCATAGTGGTCATGATAACAGTCAAATGTTTTTTTAGCTGTGCTATAGACTTAAATCAAAGCCTACTCCCTTTCTCTGCTTCCTCAACCCTTCCATTTTCTATTCAAAATCACCAAAACCTTACCTTGCAACACAAATACCCAATCAGCGTTCCAATGCCACCACCTCAGACACATTCCAGAGTATATCTTCTCACACTGTGAGGGGGGTGACGTGTTAAGGTCAAGGATCGCTTACACACCTTATTGTTATGACATGTGATTGGCAGGATGTCTCCAGAGACAGCTGCAGGCGGGCTAGTGTGTCATCGGGCGGCACACAAGCTCTCTGGCATGTGAGAAGGCCAAAGACTCAGGAGACACTCAGGACAGTCAGCTGCCTGGGGTCTTCCCTCACGCATGACCACCATACTGTACTGTAAACTACGTCATGTCTGACTGAAATGATGCAGGGTCACCTTCCTCAATGCCACATTCATATGATTCATCATTTACACACATTTTCTGAACTTTTCAGAGGTCTTTCGTGTGAATAAACCGACCTAATATGTCACTGTCATCAGATCCAGGATAAAAAAATCTCCCTTTTTATCCCCTCAACCAATAAACTGATGGTGAATACATTTGTTGCATTAACACCGATAAAAAAAGGTCCCAGGCTTATGATTAAATGGCAGGTCATCTTCCATTTATACATGTGCATTGGCAAACTTTCCAAGGTTGACTTAAAGGAACAGTCCGACATTCTGGGAATAATGCATGTTTGCCATCAAACCCACAATCAAATGAGAACGTTTGTGTTAATGTCGTCTGTCTGCATTTATCATAGTCGAGATGCGTTTGCATAGGAAAGTTGACAGTCGAGTGTTGTCACCAAAGCATTCAAGAGTCACCTGGCCTTTGTTCAGATTTATGAGTGCGAGTACAGGACTTTTGAAATGCTGCATGAATTGAGACCCAGCTGTTAGTCATGTGCATAAGCTACATAACTGCTTTACATCTTCTGTTTCTATGTGTTAAATATCCAAAGAAACAGATACAAATGAAAAAGACAAGCTGTTTTTCAAGTGGTGAGTGAGTCTAATTGTTTCCCTGGATATAGATGCTCTTATTACAATCTACATGTTGCGGTTTTCCTTAAAAGAGCATGTGTAGCCTGGGGCTTCATCTCATCAATACGGTGACACTGAAAAGACTGTGGAAAAATAATTCTGGCTCACCACCTGTTCCTCTGTAAATTGTCCATCAGTCACTTTCCACTGGCTCCTGTGCATAATAAACAGTTTAGTTTCCCCTCCATACTTTAGATGGCTTGCTCTCAGAATTAGCTATTATTCTTTATTTCGGTTCCTCATTTTAAATGTCATCCGCACCTGACCATGACAGCTCCCATTGCTTTTTTGTGTTTCTGAGTCAAGACCATTTAACTGAAAAAGGTAGAATTTTACATTTGAGGTTTTAAAACAAAAGGATATTGGACTTTGATTAACTATCAGATGTCAGCTGGTCATTGAAGTCCACCATAGATCATCATAATTTCTCTCTGAGAAAGCCTGTAACAGGCTTTGAAAAGAAATGTTTTATTCAGTAACCCACGTCCACTAATATTTCTCACTTTTTATTTTTCTGTGTTGATGCAGGTCAAGGAAGAAATGCAGACACTTAACATGAAGGAGCTTTTTATGGTCCAGAAGGTAGCCTGTCAGCAGTTTTTTTTATCCTCACAGACCCAAATAAACCCTTGACCTCCTGAAAAGTTTGGATTTTACAGCCGAATGGCTCAAGCCCCCGTAGACGGGCGGGTGTGACCAAGCTGCCAAGGTTACAAATGACAGCCAAGTGATTGGGTCTCACTGTGGATTCTGGATAGGTATAGTCAGGACCTTTCAGAGGATGAAAGTTTAAATCATCTCAGTAGGACCCTTGGGGAAGTCTCAGCTACTCATATCTGGATATTTAGAAGGATCTATTGTCTTTATACCTCAAGACCTCGGACTCATCTCTTGTTGGATTAACTCTGAAGGCCTTGTCGACAGGAGCACAGCAGCTGTCTCGCCTGGTGCGTCTATCTATCTATCTATCTATCTATCTATCTATCTATCTATCTATCTATCTATCTATCTATCTATCTATCTATCATCTATATCTATCTATCTATCTATCTATCTATCTATCTATCTATCTATCTATCTATCTAGTATCATGCAGAAAAAGTGAAATATGTTCATTACAGTTCAGCACCTCACAATTATGAGGAATGTTCTTTAAAAACCACACTTGTAAAGGGTGAAAAGGAGAAAAAATATAGGCACCACGAAAAAAAAAAGGTCCAGTCAAAAATTCCAATTCTTATTTGTGACTTTAAAACAGCTTTAACCAGTGGACAATTACTTATTAGGATCATTTATTTGATTTAAAGTAGCAATACCACACTGTTGAAGTACTCATTACATTATTCATGATTTACATTATTTATTATTCATTATATCATATACATTATGGTGCATTACCGTAATGCAGTTGGTTGAAGCGGAGATAATTTCAACTGCTCCATACACTGTTGAGCAGTATTTGTATATCTGAGTCATCTGTAGAATGCGACTGCGTCAAACACGATTTGTTAATCAGCCCGGTGGAAGCCATGTACTGACAGCAGAACAGCAGTGCATAGAATTTGCATTTTGACCTATCTTCCTTGACCTACATGAGATGAATCATTACACCATCTGAGGTGTTTCCACTGGACACAAATAAGCATTCAGGAGCATAGGTAGTCACGCAGACTTCAGAGAAACAAAAGATGTGATGGAGCGGGTGAGAGACGTGCAGGAGGGAGCTGACAGGAGGGAGGTCAGACAGTGACAGATATCTGGACCCCTGTGGTGAAAATGTGAAAGACTAATGTTGGTGCCAACGCCTACAGTGCATTCACATAAAAATGGAGGTGAAAACCTGCACAACATTAGTGCTGGTTAGGAAAACCTCAATCTTTTGACCCTCCACAACACATGGTTGCCTGTCTCTGGTCTAAATGAAACAGTAACTTACAGGACAGTGATGGACTCTCATCTGAACCTATAATTAAGATCATGTCAACAATTCCTTTGGCATGACAGTTGTTAAAAGGAAGCTCAAACCAGGGTGTGTAGAGGAGTCTTGGGTTTCAGGCTGCAGGGATGTGGGATGAATCACTTGGGGAAGTTGTGTGGGGGGTTGCTAAGGGGAGGAGGTTCTACTCCTTGGATCGGTCAAGTCCAATGTCCTTAAGAGCAGAAGGATGTGACAGCCAGTAGTTTAAGACCGCAGGGAACAGAACGGTGTGTTCTGATAGAGCACAGGAGGCCAGAGACCTGATTGACACGAAGGCTGCTTTGAGGCAGAAGCACTAATCTTGACTGCAGACTACTGAGGAGATAAACCATGGGAGTGTACAATGAACAAGGGTAAGGTTATTATTCCTTATTCAGAGCCTTTGCACTGGTAGATGTAAGAGGTCTAAAGTTAACTTTGAAGAGTGTTTTGCATCACTTAAATAAATTTATCATCCTTGTTGTTGTTGCAATGCAATTAGCACTTAGGGGAAACAATGCAAGGTGATGACAGTGCATCACATATTTTTACGGTAATCAATGAAATAAATTGTGGAAATCCTAGTTAGTTCTAAATCAGATGTGGTACCTTGTGAATACTGATAGGAACCTAAAAGTTTGTTTATAATGACAATTAAAAGAAAAAAACCTCTAAATTTGCTTAATTAATAAAATTTGCTTAAAGGTTACCCTTAAGAGAAAGTTCTGACCGTATAATAATGTTTACCTTGTCACTGTATGTTTTAGGGCTGTCCTGGACGAACCAGAGCCCCGCCATATGCTGGTCAAAGCGAACAAAGGAGGGTCCCACCGCAGTCGACGCATGGCAACCCCACTCTCCCTATGCAGACAGCTCAGCAAACTTCCCCCCAAAGATATCTTCAATAACATGATGGTTATGGGTCAGTTGCCACTGACTGTTTCTTATTTTGAACCTTTACTTTTCAAGTGCAGTGAGCTTTCCTAGAGCTGTGCTCAGAATGATGATATGACAGATAAAGTACAACATGTCAGCTAGAGTATCATGAGAACTTCAGATGAGATGAAAGACATTTAAAAACATTTTAAAGAATGATTTTAAAGGAGCACTGCACAAATTCTACACAAGAAGTTCAGTTTACTTGTGATAGGGGGTACTATTCAGCCTTTGCAGCTGTATAATGTCTTCTATGACGTGCAAGGTGTTTTCTACGGTGGCCGACAAGGGCAAACGCGCTGCAAACGGCAAAACGCTTCAAACACAGGAATGATGCAAATCCAAAAACACACCAACACATAAAAACAAATGCAACAGAAAAACGCAGCAACAGAAAAATCCTGCAATCACAGAAACGAAGCAGAAGCACAAACTTACAAACCCACAAAACAATGCAACAGAAAAATGCTGCAAATTTCAAAAACACACAAAACCCCAAAACAACTGCAAGATATAAACGCTGCAAATTCGCTCGACAAAACGGAAGTGCGCCAGGCCACTAGGGAGACCCGACCTGAGGGATGGACCAGTCCTCTGGGACCAGACCCGAAAGACATGAAGAAGTAGAGTAGTACTACAGACTGTGGGTCAGCCATGTTGAACCACCATGATCATTTAGTAGCCCAGAGGGGAAAAACCAAACACTGGCACTAGATAGGGGCAACTACACCACTAGATGCCACCAAATCCTGCACACTGGACCTTTAAATGTAGTTAAATGTAGGCGGGGTTGTTACCGGGGCTTCCGGGCAAACCAACTTCCCTTTCCAGTAGCTGGGAAACTATATAGTGTACATTTACTTCTAGACTGATAACTTACTGCTAAGCTTTTTCTCTGCTCTGCTTACATTCATCTTAAATCGCTAAAGCACTGGTGTTACTGATAGCATTAACAATGGCTCTGTTCAAGGGTCCCAGTAATCCAGGAAAGTAGAAATTTGATCTAGTTTTCCTTAAGCAACAATGGAGCTTTAAAAGAAGTATGCAATGCTCACTAAATAAATGCATCTGTTTCACCTTCTTACATCATGGTCTTAAAAGACCCATTTATACAGGATCTAATGGTCTCTGTATCGACAGCATCCTGTCACTAGAGACTACTGTGGTCACTTGTATTGTAATTGCTCCAGTCAGTTCTGGAGGGCTAAAGAGGATCTTCTGTTAATATTTAATGGAAAGCCAGTGGTGAAACTAACTATTTCTATTTTACGCAACTTTATACTTCTACTTCACGACATCCCAGAGGCAAATATTGTACTTTTCCATACAAACTGAAGGATTAAACATTTCTCTATGGGTAGAAAGAAACTTTGCCTCATTCTTAAGCTAAATAAGCTATTTCAAACCCCACTTGGATTAGCTGGAAAATGCTGGAAACACGGCTGTTTTTTCAACTCTTGAAAAGTCAACTTTTTAGAGATACAAAGTTCAACGACGTTACAAACATATGATGATCTTAGAATATGATGCATTTCTGTAGATTAAACTATACAACAGTATAAAGTAGTAGTAGTTAGAATTAGTTCAACTATAGCAGGAAAGTGCAACATACAAATTAATGCAAAAGTAATATTGATCTATAAACATCATCAACATCACCTTAATTTGTTACCATTCTTCATTTGCAGTCTTATAAATTACTCATAAATTTGCATTCACTATGGCGATTTTTTGACTTTGCTGGAGCACACCTCCTTTTGCCAAGGATCACCATGGTAACCAGTCAAAACAGCTCAATACTATTGGATTCCACGCCTAAATTTGTCTTGTTTACTTCTTCTACTTCTACTAAAAAGTGGGATATGATTAAAAAAAAGACGCTAGATAAGGAAGTTCTGTAAAAAACATATTTATTTTTACATGATACAATGTAAAAAAATAAATCCTGCTACTGTCTGTTGTGGGTTGATATTTATAACATTTATATTTGTAGTTTAAATATTCTGTTTTACTGAATGAGTACATTTTTATTCTAGGAGAAAAAATTCAGGTGCAAAAGAACACATTTATTTTCCTTTAATGGTAGCACAAGACAGAAGATATATTTTGCTTGAGAATTGCAATTAAATAATTAGTGCCTTGTTTTGATTTGGTAGTCGGGGGATGGACCCGGGACGACCCATCCTGTCTGGTAGAACAGTTCTGTCCTGAATACAACGAGTGGAGGACAGCAGCACGCATGGTCAACAATCGTGGCAATGTGGCTGTGGGCACAGTGGATGGCAACATCTACACAGTGGGTGGGGAAGATCACATCCGATGTTACAGCAGTGTGGAGAGGTGAGAGACAGTACAATTTCAAAATGTATTTGCTCTTTTAGTCAAATGATTTCTCACTGTAAGAAACTCTCGTCATCCTTTGAGCAGATTTAGTTTGTTTTGTCACACGCTCTGGTGAAGTTCATGTTCCAGTTGAATGCAAATATCAAACTGCTGACTTCATGTGAGGCTGTAATTGAACTTGTTTCTTTTGGTTTGCGTTGATTTACTGGTATAAGATGATTCAAACCGACATTTCACTACCTCACACCAGTTTTCACAGAGTGAGAAAGTGAAAGCAAGCATGATGGAGCTGATGAGGACAGTTTGAAAT